TGTTATCTTGCCTTCTGTATGTATTAGTTACTGTTTTCTTATTTGTACTTAATAGAAATCCTTTAAATGGTGACAATGGTACAAATAACTTTAGTTACAATAAAACATATTTGTATGACGTAAATATAACATTTTGACTAATATAAAAATATAAAGGCCTGAGGGAGTTGAAGTACTAAATTTGTAATACTTTCTCAAACCTAGTTTAATCTAATATATGATATGGTCTGGTTATCGTCAGCTTCAGAAGTCAGAGTTGTATGCTTTGAAATGTAATATTTATTATCCTTAATACAGCTTTCGGGTAAGGGGAACGTTTCTCAGTTTTAGGTGCAGTTCACTGTAAGAGACTATTTTAAGATAGATTTCCAATATAGTGAAACTCAGCTCTTAAACTGTTTCATGTACTGAATATTCATCGACATATTTAAATGAGTCAATATAGACTTAAGAGATGAATTACCAAATGTGGCTAAATTACAAGCAGTAGAAAGTATCAGCTGCTTAATGACTCAAGTAAAGCAGGAAAACCAGGAAGTAGAATAACTATGTTTTTATTTATTTATGCATTCTTTCATTTATCCTACGTTTTATACTTGTTACGTTGGAAATATGAGTGAAATATTATCGTTGGTTATCTGTCAGATTTTTGTAACTTTGGGTAATTTTACTGATGTGCACATATGGGACATTCTAGGGATGAGAGAATTTGATGAATTAACTCCAGGTGCACGCTGCTTTTTCATTTGCTGTAGGGTGGGAAAAAAGCTAAGAAGTTAAATAATTTGTTCTAGTAAGTGGTAGCCACAATATGAGCTCAGATTTTTTAATGCCAGGGTGTAATCAGTCAAGATTCAGAAGCATAGCAGGAATTTGAACAGGAATAGCATAAAAAAATATTAACTGGTAACAGGAATTATCTCCTAAAAGAAGTAAAGAGAATCTAAAGAATAAAGGAATAGCAGATGTAGACAGCAGCCAGTAACGTTAAGTCCGAGGGATGGTACTCAAGGAAGGAACATACTTGGAAAACTTCGCACAACTTCCGAACCTCGTCCCCCACGCCAGGCTGAGATTCAGATCTCATTAGAGCAGGTGTGGCTGTAGCTAGTGGAAGAGAAGTGCACGAGCTGCCACAGACTAGGGCTAGAGATCAGGAAGCCATCTGCTGGGGTACTGGCAAAACTTGCTGGGAAGCTGCCCTTAGGATGTCATTGAGAATTGCTGGGAAGCTGCACCCTGGCACCTCTGACATACGAGCAAGAAGGAAAAGCACCAGACCAGGAGATGAACACCTTCCTTTGCAGTATCGCTGCAGCACCATCTACTGACATGGCTAACTTTATTCCTGCTGGCAAAGCAAAAATCTTTTTAAGGTCCAGCTCCAATATCACAAAGCAGAGCAAAGATGGGTAGATTAGGAGCTGAGGGACATACGTGACTGGCGTAACATTTTTAACTCGTGACATACTGCTTTTCATGTTGCAAAATTATGAGAAGTAAGTAATTCTAAAATATGTTATATTTTTCTATATGTGATACTTTAGTTTCAGTTTTCAGCTCAATTAGGAGCCATGCAGCATCTGAAAGACCAGTTGGAGCAGCGGACACGGATGATAGAGGCAAATATTCATCGGCAACAGGAAGAACTAAGAAAAATTCAAGAACAACTTCAAATGGTCCATGGTCAAGGGCTGCAGGTAAGTTATTGTTATATTTGAATACAAACAAAGCATTCCGTTCACATTTTGGATTTCTGGGAAAATTGACTTTCTTAACTAAAAGTGAGATGTAGGAGATGCATTTCATCAACTCAGTTCAATAAATACCCATTGGTTACCTACTCAGTATGATTCTACTTAAGTCTCTAGAGATAATTCCTTCCTAAGGGTATTTTCATCAACATGCTTGTTTCTCCAGATAAATGGAATCATCTTCTACCACTCCAAATTTTAGTAAGTTTAAATCCATAATATAAAAATTACAGTTTACATAAACATTTGGGTACAGAATTTATAAATCAATCATCAGTAAAAGTTTTAATAAGATACCAGAAGGTAGATTCAAATTAGTCTTACTTGACCAACACTCGAGGAGACTAGGACTTCGGTAAAAGGAAACTGAGTGAAAACTACTTCTGTCTAACGTTATAAATTGTAAACGATTGGTGATCTAGAGCTGCCAGTCCACAGGCTTCTGAGCAGTGCTGAGTTACAGGTTTTCTGACAATTGGAAATGTACGGTTAGTTTGACTGGAAGATTGCATTTTTTTTTTCCTTTTTAAAAATTGTAATAGAATTAGGAGGTACAAGTTGAATTGTATTACATGTATATTTTGTATAGTGGTGAGGTCTGGACTTACGTACCCATCACCTGCGTAGTATACATGGAAGACTGCATTTACTGCTGATTGTTCATTCAGAATGACTTAGTCTTGTTACTTGCTTTGAAAACTTTACAGCTTGATTTTTTTTCTTTCTTTTTAATGCTCTCCTTTTTCGTTTTTAATCTACAATGCTCATTTTGTTGTAATCTTTGTTTTTAAAGATGTTTTTGCAACAGTCAAACCCTGGATTGAATTTTGGTTCTGTTCAACTTTCTTCTGGAAATTCCTCAAATATCCAGCAACTCGCACCTATAAATGTGCAAGGCCAGGTTGTTCCTACTAACCAAGTTCAAAGTGGAATGAATACTGGACATATTGGCACAACTCAGCACATGATACAACAACAGACTTTACAAAGTCCGTCAACTCAGGTAACATTATCGAGTACAGTGGGCTATGGAGTGTTCAGTGATGGAAATGTACATTACTGCTAAAACAAAAATAAAGCTCTATTTTATAAAATACCCCATTTTTAAATTTAGTAGTGATTAAAGAGTATATTATTGAGGGATCATTAAAATATTTTTTGCAAAATTATGTTAGTGTTAAACATTTTCAGTATTTTTGCACTTAAAAAATGTCACAAGCTGTTTAAGGATCTAGTCTAACAGAGTCATACCAGGTTATTGTAACTTACAGTCTACTTCCATGTGTTAAAAATGTTTGAGGCTGACCAGGAAGACTGTTGGTAGGGAGCAGTGATGGTTTAATCAGTATTCCAGAAAATTTTGGAAATTACCGTACCTCTATGACTATAAATCCCTTTACATGAAAAATATAGAAATGTCTACCAGTAAGTCACTCACTTTGGGCATTTAAGAGAAATTTTTTGTGTATATTTTATATCATCCCTGTTAATACCATGCTCCTTTTCTAAAGTCACAGCTTGCCTTCCAGCAAGGCATTGAGGACTGATTCATTCTCGATTACTACAAGTCATTCCTTTGCAGTCAGATTTCTTGCAGAATAATATGTCCTGTATTGTGAGTACGATGAATAGGAGAAGCATACTCCCCAAATAACTTTTTTCAGTGAATCTATCTGTAAAATCTTCTTTTTCAGCAGAGTCAACAAAGCGTACTGAGTGGGCACAATCAGCAGACATCTCTTCCCAGTCAGACGCAGAGCACTCTGCCGGCCCCACTGTACAACACCATGGTGATCTCGCAGCCTGCCGCTGGGAGCATGGTGCAGATTCCGTCTAGCGTGCCCCCAAACAGCACCCAGAGTGCCGCGGTAACCACGTTCACTCAGGACAGACAGATAAGGTAGTTGTCATATTTCATTTGTCATTTTCAAAGTAGTAGATCGAGCAATTTAAAAACAATAATTTGATTTTTAAAAGCATGATTTTAGTTTGTTGCTCACTGCAGCCAGTGTTCTTAGATTTGAAATAAAAACGTAGAATTTATTTTTGCTTAAGGACTTTATAATAAAAGGGTGACAACAGATTTTGTTTCTTGCTCAAAAATGTGCTACCACAATGTTATAGAATCCAAATTCTACAGATCGCTGTGACACGCGGTTTGTGATAGGCTTTGTGTCACTGTGAAGGTTTTGTCTTTTCGATACAGATGCTAGAGAGTTTTCATGTACTAACAATGGTTAAGGTAGCTTACCTTTTTTAAGTTTGTTAAATGTTCAAAATATATTATCTCATTTAATTCTCACTTTAAAAAAAAATATGTTAGGGTCTTTTGTTTTCCAGATAAAGAAAAAGTGGGTTTTTAATAATTTGGTCAAGGGCCTGCATAGCTAAAGGAGTGAGGAGGGGATTCTGAAGTCAGACTTTGGTGTGTGATTTCAGAGCTCAAGTGCTTAAACATACATTGCACCAAGCTTTTGTGCACTATTCTAGGAAAACAGCCACCTGTGCTTATTTTAGCAGGAAGTCCAAATAGCTGACTTAGAAACAAATTTTTTGAAGAAATGCCATTCATCTGTTGGGAAGCTGTCTTTGAACAACTGTAGGATCTCTGTAGTCTTAGATCTCGTATTTTAAATGCATTTTATTTTTAATCTATTTTATTACAAGTAGGCTGCTGCTTTTATAATACATCTTTGCTGTTTGCGTGAGACAGTATAATATATTTTATTAAAATCTTTCTAATAATTTCCAGAAAGCAAAGAAGCTGCAGTATCACATAGGCAATGAGAGCAGGGAGAACTCGTTGCTTCTCTTTGGAGCTAAGTTCCTGCAACTTAAAAAGTCCAACTTCTAGCTCTAATATTCAGCCGGAAAGTCTTATGAGTGTGCTCCATAGAATTGCAGGGGACTGGTTTTAAAGCCTGAGAAAGACACATTAAACTAGAATGTTGCTGTGCATTTTGTAAAGTGAGCAGCTATTTGTAAAGGTCTCCTTTTTTGAGGGTAGAACAAAAAACATATTTCAGCCAATGACTGAAGGCCTACTTAGATGAGTATGACACAGTCCTTTTTGGGAAAGACTAGACTAGTGAAAGCATTAGAAAGGTAAACAAATCGGTAGTATTCGGTGTGATGAATACTTACAGGCATTTAGAGAGGAGGTAGCGAGCAGTTCCACGGGTTGAGGCAAGTAGGTGAATAGAGAAGTGTGGTCAAGAAAAACTTCACGGAGGAGGAGGAGAAACTTGTCCTGAGCCTTAAGGAGCTTGGCTTTGGGTGTGCACGTGGCGGGGACTCCAGGCAGACTGAGCAGTGTGTATAAAGCCACGGAAGTGTGAGTTAAACAAAAATAGATTAAAGAATGTCTTTTGGTGCCAGAGATGTATGAAGTATTCTTATTATATTTACCAGTGAGCCGTTAGGCAATTCAGATATTACCTTTGTTTAAAATTAACTTAGCACTTCTGTAACTAAGTGTACTTCGTAAACGTTACTTGTTTCTTTGTGCTTTCTTTATTTTAACATCTTTAGTTCTTTTTTTATTTTGCATTAAAGCATTCAGTTGTGGAGTGTATACAGTGTATTTTATGTTCAAGATCTGGCATGGATTCAAAATGAATTATTATAATTTGATTTTGAAATATTGTAATGTACTTTAACCGTAATTGCAGTCGTGTCATGCGTCTACAGCAGGGTCGTACGTCGGTTTCCTCGCCGTGATGGCCATTGTGGAGAACTAACTTCATCTCTCAGAGAGGCAAATGGAAATAACATGGTTGCCTGAAAAGGCATCATTTTTTGTTTTTCTTTTATATAAAAAGTAGAGGAAGGCAGTCAGGGAGGGAGGGGAAATTAGCAAATTCTAGCACAGTGGGCTTGTGCTACACTGATACATTCACAAATTGAGAGTGCTGTTAGAACGTCGTTTGGTTTTGAATTATGTTTGTAAGATACAACTTTCAGTGTAAATCCGTAAACCTACCTAGAGTTTTAAAAAATTACCTCATGATAGCTTTAAGTTCATTCAGGAACTGGGTGCTAATGTGGCAAATAAAGCACGTGCCATATCTGTCTGACTCCCAAGTGCCTAGTAATTTTATAAAAAGAAAAAAGTTCGTGTATTGTTTTTACCGGTTGAACATTTTTTATTGTGGGAAAATATACATAACATAAAATGTATTATATTAATCAGTTCAAAGTATCCAGTTAGTGTCATTAAGTACATTCCCATGGTTGTTGCCATCACCCTCCACCATCTCCAGAACTTTGTCTTTCCCAAACTGAAACTCCATCCCCGTTAAACAGCCCCCATCCCCCAGCCCTTAGCAACCACCACTGTAAGCAGTGACTCCCCGTTCTCCCTTCCCCCAGCCCCTGGTAACCTCTGTTTTGCTTTCTGTCTGTGAATTCGACTACTCTAAGTACCTCCTATAAGTGGAATCATGCTGTAGTATTTGTTCATTCGTGACTGGTGTGTTTCACTTAGCAGGATGCTCGCGTTGTAATGTGTGTCAGGATCTCCTTCCTTTTTAAGGCTAAATAATATTCCACTGTATGTATATACCACGTTTGCTTATTCATTCCATCTGTCAGTGGATTCTTGGGTTGCCTTCACCTTTTGGCTATTGTGAATAATGCCACTACTTATGAATATGAGTGTACAAATACCTGTTTGCGTCCCTGCTTTCACTTCTTTTGGATATATACCTGGGAGTGGAATTGCCTTATGTGATAATTCTATATTTGATTTTTTTTTGAGGCACTGCATAATGTTTTCCATAGTGGCTATAGCATTTTATATTCCCATCAGCAGTGTACAAGGGTTTCTCCACATCCTTGCCAACTGGTTTTTTCTGTTGTTGTTTTTTGGGTTTTTTTTATAATAGCCATCCTGATGGGTGTAAAGTGGTCTTTCATTGCGACTTAGCTTTGCATTTCTCTGATGATTAGTGATGTTGAGCACATTTTCATGTGCCTATTAGCCATTTGTATATCTTCTTTGGAGAAACGTTTATTCATGTTTGACCTTTGCCCATTTTTTAATTGGGTTGATTGTTGGTGAATTGTGGGAATTCTTATATATTTTGGTTATTAACCCCTTATCCAGTTGCTCACTGCACAAAGATCCAACTATTGAGACAAGAGGATTGCCAAGGAAGAAAGGAATTTTAATGTGAAAGACGTCTGTTGAGAGAATGGGAGAAATAGTCTC